CTGTGATTCATGAGTTAGATTTCGAGATAATTTATTGACATATCAAAGAGTATCAGTATAGGGTTTAGTGAAGATTATATAATTTTCATAGTGTAAATCACGAAATGATCTTAGTTAAGGAACCATTGGAAATCAAGAAGCACTGGACAGTTAATGCGCCCTAGTATGAGATTTCTAAGCAGTGAGTATCCACCACACTAGCACAATGAACGGATTCTAAAATCCTTAGCCTTGAGCAGAAATGCTTAACTTTTAGACCACTGAGCCACTATCTAATGGATAGTGTACGTCTTTAACTTCAATCGACTCACGTATTGCACGACTATCATCTATTGTATGGGGTGGATGACCATCTCACCCGACGTGGACGAGCTGCATGGGTTACTTTAGTTTGGCAGTTATTGCTGAATATTACTAATTACACATTTTTACTTTATGCAACCAGTGACATCTATAGTTAAATAATTTGAAAATTGATATTATTGATTGCTGTTGTTATAAGATACATGTAAAAATTATTTGTGGAGTAATTAATGTCCTTCATACAATTAGCTGTTATAATCATGATTGCATGAGCTTATATTCACCGTCTAATGTTGTAACAAAAAGGCGGTATTCATTCCTGAGTATACTATTTTTAGTAGCACTTTAGGCGCTGGAGGAGCTAAAGAACACATTCAAGGGAATTCCAAATAACATTTACTCACTCCACGACTTGTGATTCCAATTTCCACAGGAATAAAAACAAAGGTAAACGAAAACCATCGTCTGTGAAAATGAGCTAAACGTTGATATTTATCAAGATAGTTGATGGACATCACTGTCATTTGTTGAAATCTGCATCACAACGATGAATGAAATTACTTGCTCAGTGAAAAGAATTCATGGATATGCAAATAAATTGATGTAGTGGTTTACAAGATTACTAGATATGCTGTACAACGTAATGACATCTGTAACCATAAATAAAACCTCTCATTTTGTTACCTTTATGACGATTATATTCATATGACTCCTCAAGAATTGACATTAGGCTAATCAGTTGGTCACCTTCTGCAATCTTGTGAATAATACACATCTGTACTTGCAACAGAATACAGTAAACTAAATGTAGAAACGGACTAAATATTGAACACTAGAATACGTCGGGTTTATTCGGTAGAATCAGTAATCAATTGCTCTAGAAGACCCATGATTATTCTTCACGTTTTGCTCAGTACCTCCAAGCGTTCCTTTTCTCTCTGACTTCTTACTGCTTTTTCCTTTAGGCTAATTGTCAATCTTTATGATGATGTGAAATATAAGAATTTAAACAGCTACACAATACTGACTTAAACAGAACACCTTTTAGATCCTGGTGTCTTGATACAGCCAGAATCAATTTTCATGTATTTCAGTTAGAATAAAACTATTACTGATCCGTTAGATTTACTAACTAGACTATAAAGAAATAAAAAATCATCTACAACATATCCTGCTTTCGATTATTTTATGCCCGGGTAAGCATAATAAATGGTAACTTTTTGGATCCATTTATGGACCGATACTATGCGTATATTTTATCGTATAATTGTTGAATAACTAAACTATACATATTCATGTTGTTGCGACTTCATGAGCCGCTTGTTATCGCGTAATCGATCCGCCAATCAAAATACGACTTACTCGCCCTTATACGGTACTAAACCAATGACGTTCGATCGGTCTGATCAGCCTAGCGTCCTACTGGTCCGTTGCTTGCCTAGCCCATCCAACTGAGTCCAGAATGCTAATAAAGCCTCCACTATGCAAATCATTTATTTCAGACATACTGGGTTTACATACCAAACAAACAGACCGCAACGCACCATGAAATAGAAAATGACATTTGTACACAATTAAGCCAAAAAGTGGCTGTGAACGTGGGAGACAGTAGTCAATAAACTGAACATAGCTTAAGAACAGTAAATCGTACAATAATAAAATATAAGTCAAAATAAAGCTTATAACAAAGGGAATACAGATATACGTAATCTAGTTACTGAATATGTATGCCATAAGAATATATTGATAATATTAGTCTATTAATAGGTCTCAGACATTACTCGTAATGTAATCTTCACATGTCCCTCTTATTATGAGCTTTATTTTGACCTATGAACTATTATTATACGTTTTACCATCCTTGAATTATGCCCTGTCAACTAATTACTACCTCCCCCCATTCACAGACACATTTGGCTAATTCTTGTACAAATGTTGTTTCATATTTTATGGTCCGGTGTGATCTGTCTGGTTGGTATATAAACCCTGTACGTTTGAAATGCATGATTCATATTGCAGAGGCTGAGATTGGTGTTCCGGGCTTAACTAGCTGGGCTAAGCGGAAAGCGGGACCAATAAGTACTCTAGACTAATAGGATTTTATGCGTCACTGGTCTGATCGATATTTCACTGCTCTCTAATTGGCGGTATCGTTACGCTATACAATAAGCAGGGGCACATAGGTCACAAGTTATAACAGATTACACATATATGACAGTTAGAAAGGAAATAAATTACATCTTCACATCTAGATGAAATACTGACAATAAACATCCCCCTACTGTAATCATCGTTTAAGGAAAATCAAATAACTAGTACATTCGTGAAAAAAAATGATACAAATGTACATGAAGCAGTTAGGCGTAATGTACTAAACAGATATTCATTAACATTTTCTTAAGCACAAAATAATAAACATTTAATTTACATAGATATGACGAAAGTAAATATATACTGCTGAATTGACCAGATTTCAGATAGTAGTTCTCAGATTTCTGAGCGAAATTCAAAATCTAGCGATAAATAACTTGTACCTAAGATTATAGGGTAGGTATAAACTAGAGATTCTTAAAATAATGATAAGTAAGTAATTAACTTTTCATGGAAAAGAAAACAAATAAAACGAAAATATACATAACATTTGACATGATTAATAAATTTTCTTAAGTAACTTAAAAGATTTTGAGATTTGAATTTAAAACGTTATCTACATGAGTGTTTATGCTTCATACAGTAGAACTGTGTTGACGTACGTATTGAAGATTCTGACTTTGATATTGGTTGACAGACAGGTGTTTTGAGTTCCATATGTTCTTCAATTGTAGGAATGCGGCCCTTGCTTCGCCAATCCTCGTCTTTACGTCTGCATCTGATCCCCCTTGTTCATCGATGATGCTTCCCAGGTATGTGAAGGATTCCACATCTTCCAGAGTTTCGCCATCAAGAATAATTGGATTGCTGTTCTTCATGTTGTATTTGCGGAATTAGGTTTTCCCTTGTGTATTTTGAGGCCTACTGATGCCGAGACTGCTGCTACACTGGCTGTCTTTATCTGCATTCGTTCGTGTGTATGGGATAGGAGGGCTAGGTCATCTGCAAAGTCTAAATCTTCTAATTGGTTCTGAGCTGTCCATTGTATGCCGTGTTTTCCCTCAGACGTTGAGGTTTTCATAATCCAGTCGACCACCAGAAGAAAGAGGAAGGGAGAGAGTAGACAGCCTTGTCTGACTCCGGTCCTTACTTGGAATACATCTGTCAATTGTCCTCCATGCACGACTTTGCACTGTAGTCCGTCGTAAGAGTTCCGGATAATGTTGACAATCTTCTCAGGAACTCCGTAGTGTCGAAGAATTTTTTCATAACGTTCTCCTGTCTACACTGTCAAATGCCTTTTCATAATCAATGGAGTTGATGTACATTGACGAGTTCCACTCAATTGATTGTTCGACGATGATCCGTAGTGTCGCAATTACGGAATCCAGCTTTTTGATCTCGAAGTTGAGCATCTACTGTGTCTTTCATCCTGTTCAGTAACACTCTGTTAAAGACCTTTCCTGGTATTGACAGTAATGTAATGCCTCTGTGATTTTCACACTTGCTCAGGTCTTCTTTCTATGAAATCTTGATGAGGTGTCCTTCCTTCCAGTCCATCGGCACTTGTTCCTCTCCCCAAATCTTCTTGAATAGAAGGTGAAGCATGTTCGTAGTTACTTCGTTGTCTGACTTCAGTGCTTCAGCTGGTATATTGTCGGGTCCTGCTGCTTTCCTGCTCTTGATTTGTCTGATGGCCATTCTGATTTCTTCTGTCGTTGGTGGATTGACATCTATAGGAAGATCTGTGTGTGCTGCTTCGATGTCCGGTTGATTCATTGGAATCGGCCTATTCAGAAGTTCCTCGAAGTACTCTGCCCATCTGTTCCGCTGTTGTTGAGTCTTAGAAATTGGTCTTCCTTTTTTGTCTTTGACTGGTCTCTCTGGTTTACTATATTTCCCTGCTAGTTTCTTCGTTGTATCGTAAAGCTGTTTCATATTTCCTTCTCTTGCAGCTTTCTCCGCCGTTGTTGCTAGTTCTTCCACGTATTTCTGCTTGTCGGCTCTAATGCTCTTCTTCACTTGCTTGTTCTTCTATGTATTCAGTTTGTGCTTGGACTTTCTCTGCTCGTGTTCGACTATTGTTAATTGCTGTCTTCTTCCGGATAATGTTGACAATCTTCTCAGGAACTCCATAGTGTCGAAAACTAGTAATAAGTAGATGTTTATAACTTTAAATTAAATCAATTTCAAGATTTTAAAAGTCTGTGACCACTGCTATTTTACAATCTGAAATCTTTTGACTTGAGTCAACTTTTATAATATAGTTCAACTAGTTAACCATACAATATCACATATCATATGAAGATAATGTACATTCAACCAAACATACTGCATAACTCGAGGATAGGACATCAACTCTTTCATGATTGTAAATACCTTGTTATTAACGAAAGCCAAATAGCATCAAGCTTAGATTTAGTCTTTCTTCTGTTTGCCTTTGAATTGGGATGTAGTGGATGCCCCAAGGTAGTACCAAGTAACTAATATATCTAGTGTACCTCAGTAACATAGACAAAATGACATATTTTTACTAACATACACACATGTGTTATACCGCTTATTTACTGAACCAGGAGAATTGTCACCAAAAAAGACGAATAATTCCAATACTTGTTCACTAGAAAGAAATCATGATTTTATTGACTGTTGTTACTGACATTATTTTGTTTTTATATGTTCACTTTTTTTAAGAAAAAAGATAATTTCTACAAAGTAACAGGAAAATCCAAAAGAGGATATGGGGAAACTAGAAGGAAGATGAAATCAGTTAGTCAGATATAGACAACACAAGATCTGGCTATGTATACACACATCCATATCTGTTCAAGTTGTCACGTCTCTAATCCGTAAAAAAAACAATGTGAAATAGGAAGAGGAAATTAACGAAAATGAAAGGCGCATGAAACATTTATTTCAAAATGAACGGATAAAAAATATATACTGAAAATACAGTGAGTGAAGTAGTAGTGCACAATGAATAAATCAATAATATTAATAATAATACATGGAATAACAAAGTGTGTATGCTATGAACATCAAAATAATCATAGTATAATTCAAGACAAAATGTAATAACTCAGAGGGAAAAAGATGAATAAAAGCTTAGTCATAAAAAGATCCTATTTGCTGATAGTTAAAATGAGTGGAATATAAACAAGTCAAAAGGTTATATGGGAAAACTAGGGATTATACATGATCAATACAATTGGTTATCGATGAGAAAAAAAAGTTTTCTATATAAAAAGAATTATGAAAACAGTTATACACATCAAACCATAACCGGAGAAAATCTATTTATTACATAAATTTGAAAGAAAAAAACTCTTAATATTGTTACTATTACTATCTATTTGTCTCCTTCTGTTTTTTCTTCTATTTCTTCATCAAATTCAACAGTAGTATATTCTTCTAAAAGACCTGCTTGTTCATAATACTTCATTGCTATACGTCCTTCATGAGCTTCACTAGCACCTTCAGCGGCTGATTCGAAGAGTTCGTCTACAATTTTGTTCATTTTTTTATAAAGAAAATTATCAGTATACAATATAAATAAATGAAGGTATGCCAAGGAGCTTTGAAAGATTTAAATGAATACAATTTGTGAAGAATTCGTACAAAAACGAAAAGATGCTAACAATAATCACATATAGTTTATCATCAAGTGAATGTTGAAGGTGTGTTTTACGAGTAAGGAAAAAGGTTAATTGAATCGTATCTCCATCAATGATTAGTTTATGCAATGCATGTATAATTTAAACAGTAAAAATCAGTAAACGGATGATCCCACCCTATTATTATTAATTACATAAAGAATATCATCAAGACTACAAAAAAATTATCTAGGTTACTAGCAATAAGTGTAGCTCACAACCCCCCCCCCAATTATTATTATGTACGCAAATAGGACACAACGAAAAGAGAAAATAAGTTAATACAATTTAATCATTCCAGTCAGAGAGTATAATATCTACCTAAGTCTTTATCTTGAGCTACAAATATTCTGTATTATCTTATAAGATGGATGTATATGAATTATGGTTTGAATTAATAAAGTAAACGTAAAATGATAATTGGTTGTTTACAAGTAACATCAGCACAGAGTTTATTCAACATATTTATTATCTTATGACTGGTAAATCTCAAATGTAATACAAAAAAGGAATAATGATTGGCTGATTGGGACAAAATAGAAGGCAGTAAAATATTGGAAGTGTTGTGATCAGCTTAGAGACCACAACACGTCCAACATCCTCACCTTAAACTATTAATGTTCTTTATCATCTCTAAACAGCAAAATAACATGTTAGGCCTAGTAAATCAAAAGTTTTTGGAAACCCTGAACTACTCAGTACTTGATGACGTTGTCTAGTGTGAAAGCAGACTGGAAGATAGAGGAGGTCAAACCGAAACTTGGCATCAGTCTATGAAGACACTGACAATTGGACAAAATCATTTTAACAAGTACATACAACCTGGTCGGGGTCCGCATGATTACCGTAATCAATGGTTCGAGGCTTTGAATGCCATGGTTCAAAATCACTTGCGATGGCGCAGGTGCATCCATTCTTTGTCTTCATACAGATTATAAGCTTCCGAATTCCTCATAACATCTTTCATTTCACTTATTTATATTTTCCAGAATCGTATCTTTGATCCTTAATCTTTTCCATTAACATTCATAAAATCACTACCCCTACTATTCTGGGATTGGGTCTGACAATTTCAGCTCTCTGTTCTAATGAGGTATGGAAACTTGAACGGATGTACATACGTACCAGGCTCTACATTGCGACTGATTGACTTAGTATTGATATTTAGTTGTACTGTTATTATATACTCCATATTCTTGATCACACATGTGACATACATATAGATTAAAACAACAGGTAGTGTATAAAAGATAATAAGCAATAAGCTTTTTTAAAAACAGAACTATTATGATTAGGGTTGGAATCTAGCCCGCGATTTTCGTCCTATTTAGTACTGGTCAGATGAATCCACTTACCAGTGTTGATGTTCTGTTATGATCTGTCAATCTGATTCAGTCATAATTCCTCGCTTCCTACGATTTAACACACCCATCTACACAGGAGTAAGAAGACTAAGAATCCGTATAAAGTTTCGACCCTAAATTGAACCAGTATGTACGTATAAGTTACTGAACTGATCTAGACAAAGGTAAATAGAATGTGATTTTGGCTAGCTGAATAACTTGATTATTAACAATACCAAGCTCTTACACGCCTATATGATGCCCTATGTGAATGTATCTCAAGTGATATTACAGCAACATTTTGTAAAAAAACCCAACAATTTCACAGACTTTCTTTTTCCTGAGTCATTTATTGTCGAATGACCTTTTAATTACCTTGATGGCTTCGATTTAACCTTTATATATATATAATAAGATGCTCAACTTGACCTTTTAATTTATTTCTAATTTTCCTGTGATAGCTACTTCTATGTATTAAGCCATTCGTTATTGTTTTGGTGCATTTCTATGCATCATTCTTAATTAGACACAATATTTCTTGTCTTGTTGATAAGTATTACACAACTAGAATAAAGTGTAGATCTAGAGCCTCACTTTAATCACTGACTCACTGGAAAAAAAAACACTAATAGGCTAAATCGAAGTGATAGTATTCTGTAAATCTTACTAATTTAGTCTTTCGCTATGAAAAAAAGACAAACTTGTGAACAATTAGCTAGTTAGAATAAAGCAAGAATAATAATTGACGTCAACTCCTAAACCGAATGAACCAAGGAAATTAGCTCTAAACTTAAAGCAAACTCATGGCATTATTTATTTATTTCCCAGCTCAGTGGATATTACTTTGGGGGGTTGAAAAGAAATATAGTGGGTTCGAATCCTGGCGTGAACATCAACATGGATGTAGACACATCCAACTGAACAGTCTCAAATAGGATTCCCCTAGTAGACCTTATTCAACTTTACTTGTAGCTCATAGCCTCGATAAAATTGTTACGGATTCAAATATTGTAAGCCGAATTAAGTATTTATAATGTTCAGTCGAAAACCATGGAATTTACAAAAAACACCAACACTAACACTTTCAAAAGAACATGAATATGACATCCTACTTGAAAATCTTGAGAGGTATGTACATAATTTATCGAATAGAAAATTAAATTGGATTCTGTGTCAACTGTTGTTCTAGCTTTATTCAAATTCATAGATGGTACTAATTGTATGAAACTAACTAGTTACATATTCTCATTGCTCAAACAATAAACCAAGCTTATCAGTAGAGGGACTGTGGAGATCATTGGTTTTTATTAAGATCGCTAACCGATCCAAGTTAGGTAACAATTGAAAACCTAAAGTACTAAACAGTTGTTTCGTCCGAAGATCCTGGGTTCGATCTCCGGTAGCGGGATTGTGAATGCGCATGGTTGAGGAGTTCCTAAAGCCACCAGGTTTTCAATAGCTGTCTAACTTGGATCAATTTATGACTCCAATAATAATATTTGAAAAATTGATTGAACCCTTCTGATTCATAAGCCCAAATAGAAAGACTTATTAACGTGGAAATTTACACGACACAGAGTGCAGATTAAAACTATCATGCTTGGAAATAGTATCGGAACAGAGAACTAACAAAACGGGATCATCAGGTTAAAAATGAAAGATAAATAACGGTTAACTAAATACTGACGACTTAAAAGCTGATGAAAATGATGAATTGATGCATGTGTACTAAAAAAAGTGTGGTCGATTCTGAAATAGCGCCGAAAATCTGTTATATTAGGGTAAGTTTGGTACTATGATTTCAAGCGTAAGTTAGCGATAGTTAGCCCTCACATTGATTAATCGTGCTAAAGATTTTAATCGTCTGTAATACTACCATCGCTGTTTTAGGACTCCTTTACAAAAGCTGAATCCTGATTAGCTATTTTTTGAATGATCAATCCCGAGATTGCTTTCAAATTCGCTTAAGGCCGTCGGTATAGTTCAGATTTAATCTAAAATAATAACTTACAAGCTTTTATTCTATCTCTGACTAAACCATAACCACCTTTAGCATACATTTCTCCTAATCGACCTTGTAAACGATAAATTGGCCATTCAGATAATGAATGAAAACCAGAACGACTCCTTTTCATAAACGATGTATTGCGTTGATTTGTTTCATCATCTTCTGTAGCATCGTCATCATAAGTAACAACTTTAGTTGCCATTTCATACCAATGTGCAGCTGCTAACCAGTCAGGTTCTTGTTTCCGCCCATTATTATTATTATTATTATTATCATTATTATTATTATTGATATCATTACTAGTATCTGGAGAATAATAGTCACCATGATAATAAGCTTCAGCTAAATAAAGCATAGCCATACGATCTCCTGCTGATGCAGCCGCACTGATTAAAGCAAAACCATGTGCTCGAGATTCCAGTGGATCAGGCTAAATTAAAAAAAGACAAGTTAGTATATTATACACATGAAAAATCGGAAAACTGTAGTAAACAAAAGCAATTACATAGCCTATTAAGAACTTTCGTTAATTCAGTTGCGACCCAAATGATTCAGTGGTAACACCGCTGACTGTTAAGCTGGATGACATTGGATCCACCAGCGAGCATCAGTCCCCTCAAGATCATAGATACACCCTGCTGACGAGTGTCAAATAGCACAAAGCCTATGTGTCAAGCAGGGTTTTCTGTAGACTACCTTGAACCACCATCTTTCATCGGAACATAGACTAGTGGCCACATTGCAACTTGATCAATAGGATGCGATCAGCACTAAGAAGAATTTGACATACATGATACTGATAAATAATCGGTGGTCAATTTAATTGTAAATTCATAATCTGTGTGACTCAAGAATTCCTCATGAAGAAGAAATAAAACATTACCAAAAAAATAAACAATTTAACGATATGAGGGCGATACTATAATTTATGGACGAATCAACGAAACTAAGGAAAACAATTCTTCGATTTTGGCGTGAAATTCATTCATACATAAGTTAAATAGTATTTGGGTAGTATAGCCGATCCCAGTTCCGGATGAAAACCCTTATTTTAATTCCCAACCCTAATTCAACATACTAATTTATAACCCTATGTTGACTCTAGTAAGTAAGTAGTTATTTCAAGATCACTCTAGCGTTGTTCAAAGTTCGTGAATAAATTATAATCTTACATATGGTGCGAATAATTACGAATATGATTTTAAGTAAAACTTAGATGTGTTATACAGACAGAAATCTGGATTCCAAGGAAATAGTTAAGCATTTAATAGATAAACTGAAAAACATCCTATGAACGCAAATATTTATTTAAAATTTGCCAATAACCATACAAGCAAATTATATGTATTCGAAAAGGTGTAAAAATGTATTCGTCAAGAAGTTTATCATTAACATGATTTTTATGAAAGACTCTTTGAAAGTGTTGCCATGTTTGCCTAGTATCATTCTACTACAACTTCAGTATTTCACAGCAGGTCGATACATGGATACGCAACGAATGCTTCAAAGATAGATGGTTAAAAATATGAAGCTGGGACTGCATCTCCTTACGATGCTCCACTGCCTTGTGGGTCAGACGTTCAGGTCAAAGGCTCGGGGTGTGGCCCCCTAAGAAAACCACCTGCTTCTGTTTGGGCACCCGGGCAGTATCACAGCCCTCACACAAATCAATTCAGATTCGTATGGCGCATATGTATTTGGTGCCTCCTTGTACCAATACCTATGTGTTAAAATAAATAAATAATAAATAAATAAAAATACGAAGCATGTAATGGTGTGTACGAACACACCTGAGAAAATTAATTATTACTTAAACGCGTAATAATAATTTAAACAGAATAAGACTAATGAGTCATTTTTATCCCCTTATAATCGTATACTTCCCACAAGCAGTTGTTCCATATAAATACTTTTTGCATCCATCCTCGTTAATTCTATTAACCATACTGAACTTTTTTATGTGTAATTTGACTGTGTATATGTCTGTACTTACTTATCGTATCCACTGTTTATTTGAACCATATAAATCGAGACAGAAACACTTAGTGAGTTGGTTAGTGTGGCGAATTCGTGCTGTATGCACCTATCTTCTCCTATAGTTCGCCTACATAAATGAATGCATGGGATATATTTATCTCGTATCTCGACTTTTTATATTGCTTTTTAGGAATTTGGCAGGTCCTAGAACATGTACGAAATTAATCCGGGATATATATCAGGCATAAAACAATTTATGAAGTCAGAAAGACTATTCTATAGAAGTGGTGGGGCCAAGCTAGAGTTTTATATAACTGAATTCTGGCTACAATGATCTTAAAGTTAAGCGTTCGTGCGCGAGATTGAAGGCCCTAGGTTTGATTTCCAGTTGTAGGGTCGTCAGTGAGCAATGATGAGCAGTCTCATAATAAGATAGAACGGCCGTCCAGTTCTCGCAGGTTTCCAATAGCTGTCTGACGTTGATCGGTTTGTGATTTCTATGAAATGATAACTATTTATTAGTTTCTTTGTATCCGAAAGTTTTAATGACTAATTATACCGTACTTAATCGAATTCGCTGAGTTCAAAACAGGATCACTAATCATCAGCTGTTAATCAAAGATGATCCTAATTGAGCCAACAAACCTAAACACTTCAACCATTATCTTATTTTCAATGATTAAATTGACACAGTAAATGGACTAACTTTAATTGGACATTCCGATAATGGACCATCAATCATTAAATTCAAATAATATTGAGCTAAACATTGAATAGCATCTAAACAACCAAGTTTAGCTGATTGTTCTAAATGAAATAAAACTGATTCCCAATTAACATTTTGTGGGCGATTTAATTCATTCAATTGATTTCCATTCAATTTTTGTTCAATATCTATAGAAGGTTGATTCTTTTTAATTTCATTGCACTTTAACTGATAATAACCGGTTTGATGTATTAAAGCTAAACGACCAGAAGCATGTAAACGAGCCAATTCATGATGTATCTGGTAGAGGAAACAAAATTGTTTTTCATCATATTAAATTGAATCTCATTAAAGTACCATGGAATATACTAAGTTGATGTTCAATTGTAATTTTTTTTAATTTATCAGAGTATTGAAAATATCTTTTCGAAAGGAAGCTAAAGGTCTTACAATGAGCAGCGATAAAAATCAGAGAAGAATTACAAATAAGTAAACTGTTATTCCATTTTTTTTTAAAGTTATAATCCAATCAACACATGTCTATACAGATGATGAGGTTCTCCATTCTGACCTTGTTTTGTTTTATTTGTTTTAACACATATGTATTGGTACAAGGAGGCACCAAATACATATGCGCCACACAAATCTCAATTGATTTGTGTGAGGGCTGTGATACTGCCCGGGTGCCCAAACCGAAGCAGGCCATTCTGACCTGACATATTTTCATAGAACAATAGTAGGATTTCGTATGTTACATCGACTGGTCTCAAGTCTTAAAACTATCTGATAAGTCTTGCAACCGATACGCCTAAACTGTTTTCCTAGCCGGTTGTGATAACCTAAACCACTTCTACACTAGAGAGAAGGCGTGAATCGCAAGTAAAAGTTTCACTTCAAGGCTAGTTTATGTACAGGAAAACGAGGAACTTCGTAGAGCTACGCACCATGTTAGGCCTTTGGAACTTTCCTGAACAATACTAAATATATTAGCAATATAGGTAAATATGGTTCAATTTGTTTATTCTGGTTAGTGTTTTTAGCAAGGTTGTTTTCTACGGGACAGGGATGCTGACCCCACGCACAATTCTCATCCTTTACCCGGGCTTGGGATCAGCAGTAGTCCTAGAAGAGCTACATGTAGTGGTTGACTGAATTACGAAGACCTCCATATCTGAGGGGAAGCACGGAATACAACGGGCAGCTTGGATGTAACTAGACGATTTGGATTTCACAGATGACCTGACTCTTCTACCTTATACACACGAACTAATAGTGGTCAAAACAACCAGTAAAAAAGCATCTGCATCACTCGGCCTCAACATACACAAGGGAGAAAGTAACATCAAATACGACACGAAGAACACCAACCCAATCTTAATTGATGGAGAAACTCTGGAAGATGTAGAAAATTCCACGTACCTGGGAAGCATAATCGATGAACGAGGATGATCGGATGCAGATGTGAAGGCGAGGATTGGCAAAGTAAAAGTAGCAGTTGAACAACATATGAAATTCAAAACAACTGTCAACTAATATCAAAATCAGAATCTTCAATACGAACATCAAGACAGTTTTATTATACGGAGCTGAAACTTGGAAAATTACTATAACCATCATCAAAATGGCACAAATATTTATAAGCAATTGTCTACGCGAGATACTCAATGTCCATTGGCCGGATAAAATCAGCAACAGTCTACTGTGGGAGAGAACAAAGCAACTTCAATCTGAAGAGGAAATTAGGAAAAGACGTTTGAAGTGGATAGGACAAAGATTGTGGAAATCTCCAAACTGCAGCAAGAAGCAAGTGCTCACCTGGAATTCTGGAGGGAAACAGAAAAGAGGAAGACCAAAGAGCATATTAAGTCGAGAATTGGAAGGAAAAATGGAAAGGATGAATAGCAACTGGAAAGGATTGTCCAGAATAGAGTTAAATTGAGAATGTTGTTGGGTGGCCTATGCTCTTCCACGAGGGGTAACAGGCGTATGTAAGTATAGGTAAATTTCCAACCAAAACCGAGGGACGTGATTGTGCATTTTTCAGATGTTTCCGCGATGATTATGTTCAACACTGATTGGATAAAACGTTTGCTGGAGTTTCTGGATCTACAGGGACTTGGACGAAGAATATTTTGGGACTCCTCAAACATTATCTTTGACAAACTACAATGAATGTGGAGGAACATAAGTTAAACATGATCGACTAATCTCAATTACATTGGATGGTTACTGACCTTTCGTTTTAATTGACTGATGATTATGATTAGTTTAGTCAGTAGTCATAATCAACGAATGGCCTGACATAAAATACTTGTCGACCGAAACTGTCATATTACATCAGAACAAGAATCATAGTAAAAGAAATGGAAATAAGTACTAACAACAGCCACTGTCAGGGAAGTTCTATTAACTGCCTTCCCGAGGTAGGGGTGTTGTTTACGAAGTTGAGAGGATGAAAACTGATGTATGGGAGAGAATGATAATGATTGGTTATGAGCTTAGTCAGACTTGTAGATAGTCTGACAGGTACCAGATGAGTCATATATTCTCTTACCCTTATTATTATTATTATTATTATTATTATTATTATTATTATTATTATTATTATGATTGGTGTTCGATTTTATGTGGAAATATACTTACGTTCTAATCAGGCTGATCACGTGTTCTTGATCTGAGTTGTGTTGAAGTCCTGTAGAATAGGCACTGGGAGGGTATCTAGTGTGGTTATTCGTCTAAGACAAATTAGCTTCCCATTCGTGTAGACAATGGAAACCGAGCCTTATAACAACAAGCTAATGTCCTGAGATTTAACCAGGTTGGTGGGCTCCAGGATCCTAAGGGAATAAATGGCGTATGAACCTATTGTCGGTCTCCAGCTACCATGGGACTGCATCTCCTGACGTTGCTCCACTGCCTTGTGGATTATACCTCTAGGTTAAATGCTTGGGGAATGGTTCCCTAAGAAAACCACCTGCTTTACCTCTCACAAAAATCGAATAATTCGGGTGGCGCATATGTATTTGATGCCTCGTACTAATTCTTATGTGTTTAAATGAATAAATGAATAATAAAGGAGCCCAAAAATAGGTCTGATTGTATTATTCTCATGTGGATTGTTTGGTCAAGGTGATTCTATACAAGACATCACTGTTTGTTTGAATGTATGATGGCGTGTGAGAAATGTGTAATTCGGAGAAGTGAAGTTAAAATCTAAATGTATGTATGTGTGTAGATTGTGTGGAAAAAATGAATCAAGATAAATATTCTATTGTTTTTCTCATTATAATATATAATTTATACATAAACTCAACATCACATGACTCATAATTATTTTTGGTAGAAAATATTTTTAATGAAGAAAGCTTTTAGTAAATTGTATTGCAAACTCCATTTATTTCATTCCTATTCTGATGACAATGTTCAAATTCGACTGTTTTAGAAAAATGTGCAGTTTTTTAAAACAAGTTGGAACGTGTCCTGATAAAGTGTTAAGTATTTTATGATAGTTTTTAGTCAAAGTTAAGTAGTACTAATGAATTTTTTTATTTATAAAGATTATTTACGATAACTGCACAACTATACATTGTAAAAGTAGCAGACGATGGACAGAAGGAACCAGTGAAGATTTAACTTGAATCCCATGGAAAATCTGGAAGTACTGAATCGGCGTTTCATCCTAGTATGGGACTGCTCATCAGTGTCCACACGGGATATGTACTGCTGATGAGTCCCATACTAGAACAAAATGGTCACCTAGTGCTCTTACGTTTACATTCATTCTTTCAATGAAATTCAACAACGTCCACAACCCTCATACTGAAGACTTAACTTGAAATTCTACACCGAACTTAAATATTTTTGTTGCTTATATACATCTACTATATATTGCCTTCGGCTACATTCTAAAAATTATTATTTGAGGCTAGTAACTGGGATATAGATATACATTTTGTTTTATTTGGGATAATTTTTATGACTATTTCCATTCACTATATTAGAAGTAGGTAAACTAAGGCCAAAAAGTTAATTTACAAATCCGTAATAAACAGAGAGATCAGAAGTGAGATAATTCATGATTATTTTAAAGAAACACCGCACTTTCTAGTAAACTATTTTAAAAATGTTTGAAATCTAACTCGATCTGCCGTCTACGTGAATCGAGGAACAAAACTAACTTCGTTTCCCAATATTAAGATATTAAACAATCTCAATGGATTCGTTACAAGAATACACTTGCTAGATTTCAGCTATTAAGAATAAAACTTCACGACATTTCTGGATACTTCAAAGAGTCCAGATTACAGCTTGATTTGTTGACAGATAGATTTCCTTTTGACTACAAGACCAAAAATCATTATTTTGAAGTGTAGCCATTAAACATCTCGGTTGACAACAACCTGAGAGGAGAACCCAGAACTGAGTCGGTTAAGGATCTTGGTTGGCTGCATATGCTCTACGAGGAGTGACGGTAGAAACTGGATTGAACAACACGACTGGTATATTTTGGCTTCTGAACACTCTCAAGTGAATTTCTCGAGATACTAAGAGAGTTGGTCAACTAAAAAATACACAGTTAACAATTTATCACGTTTTAGAATCAAAATTGCGGAAGTAACCTCTACACATTCCAGAATGCACACATAGGTAGAGCTAAATTTGATAGCAAATACAAACTATGTGTTTTATATTGATGGCTTTCGATCATCAAACATGTCGCTACGTAATCCAAATGTAACTTTGCTTAAAAGCAAAGAAAAGGGCACAATGATGCATAGACGATTTATCATACACCATCTAACATGGTGAAACAAATTATTCTTGAGGATACTAACTACCGAATATAATAATACGGCGGTTAATTTCGACACATTCTGAAAAAGAATAATAAGCTTTCATTCAACTGAAATTGATTTCCAGAGATCTTATGACATTTTCTAGCGTCAATATCTCCATTTTGTAGAAACTCAACTAAAAGTCATACCTCCTCTAACAACTCATAAAAGTGAGAAGTGGCTTTACTGTTTATTTGTTATATAAATCACAATCTAAGATGATTGGAGGTTTTCGTGTCTTGTTATTGAAGTTCAGTATGGCCTACGATGTCATGAATCTAACAACAAAATCGATTGAGCTACTCTAATTTGATCGGTTCTTTCCGGAATTGAAAACAGTCATTTGCACAGAATACATCAAACCTCGACAGCTAATACAGGAAGAAGACGGAATCGCAGGTAGCTTGATATTGAGATAGGGACAAGCAACACAACCGGAACTGGTAGGAAAGTTGTTACTATAGTAGCAGGGTATGACCTTTGAGAATGCAGCAATTTAGCGAAATAAAAACGGTGACAATCAATCAGAGGGCAAAGGTTATGCGGGGAATCGAATTGGCACAAATTTTGCGAGCCGTTATTTCTTCTGAAGAGATCTTAGCTTTTTTAATAAAATTCGACTTTTCTTGTGATCACTTTAGCAGAGGCAATTGACAGGAAACTCTGCTTAACCTAGGTTTCGCGGTTCATCAGCAAGGTGTACCTATAACTGATGCTTCCTGGAATCAGTCCTCTCAAAAGTACAGGTACACCTTTCCGACGAATGTCAAACAGGGTTTCTTGTTCACTGCCTGCAACCACTACCTTACCTATCACATATAACGCGCAAATTCGAGTCGTCTAGACTAGTGAGCACAATACAACTTGATCGATGGGATTCTATGAACACTAAAAAAGAATCCAATATGTATGCCTATGGTCACCATTCGGTAATCAATCAATTGGAAATAAGTTTTAATCACTTAGCCTGTTTACTATGCATGAGTAATGATATTACAATGTGTCAATAGACAAACCTTTAAAGGTTCTACGAATTTTCAGCTATCGAACAAAGCATACTTTAAGGTCTCTATGGATCGAGTAAAAAAGTATTCGTATGGAAAGACGAACTGGGATGCTTCTTTGTATTTCAACATATCTTATCAAAACGTTTTCTAGTGAAATTACTCAAACAATTTAAGTAGCCTATATATATATATATATATATATATATATATATATATATATATATATATATATATATATATATATATATATATATATATATATATATATATATATATATATATATATATATATATAGACCAGAATACAACTCCAATATATAGAAAGCAGATTCTTACTGCCAAGAGTTCGGGGGCCGGATATACTCTTTCATGCGGTCAGATATTTATAAATTTCGAGATAATCTTTTATATCTAATGAGAGAGAAATTCAACAATCAATATATCTAATTAATAAATTCCCATAATTATTTTGATGTCAATCCTATTGTATTCATTATGATAATACATGAAAACGATTATCACAAAGGTAAAATTAATATCATTAATATCATCAATAGTAAAAAATGGTCATATACTTACCAAGCCTAAAATTACAGTATCAGCACCATGTAAAGCTGCAATGGAACTGCTTCGATGACCAGCTTGATGTAAACGAAAAAATTCAATTAGTTCAGCTTCCTAATAAAAAATAAACAAAACAAATATAATACTACACATAATCACCTTTTATAAAATCATGATTATGTTGAACAAATAGGCATGATAAATTAATTATATACATTTTAATCGTTTAAATATCCCAGTCATATTAAAAGACTAGTATTTGAACGAAGAATATTCTTTTCGATAAATTCTCTTCAGGTTCTACAATTATATATCCAAATTAATAATCCGAAAAAATGGCCAGTTTAAGGGTAAAGTACATAGTTTAAAGCATGTGAATTTAGGATTGTGGTAAATAAAATACAATAAAATTGTGCATGTTGTTATGACTCATAAAGAATGTTAACTTGAATCTGAGTTTATGTTCAGTGAGATTTTAAGATCTATGATCAGAATAAATATGGGTCAAGTAGGGTGAGAAAAATAATAGTGCAATTGCCATTCGATCAAATAGGTAAGACGTAATAAGGAGGGAAGAATCATGTATAGGGGAGATTAATAATGAATACGAAAAATAATAATAACAATAATAATAATACAATGATTTATGAATAAAGATAACTGAGAAAATTACAATTGACTACGAAAGGTCATAGTCAAATTTACATTTTCGTGCTCGTGAACACCTTCCAGCGTGGCTTAACAAAGGTTTGATGAAGAAAGTGAACAGCTCAATATTAGCCCATTTAGTACAAACTGGTCATAGTGCCAGTATAAACCAGTCTTTTTCAATTATTTATAAGGTCAGTAATTTTTTGCCCAAACTGGTCAGACTGAAAGTCCTTCAAACAGCTGAAGCAATAGCCATCCGGATGAAGAAACCGGAGCTATGTGTACAGAAGAAATATATTCAACCACTCCTCCTCCCCTGGCCAACATCAAGGCCAATTAATCAATCGTAATCTTAACTATTGAATGACGTAATTTGACTATGACCTTTCGTAGTCAATTGTAATTTTCTCAGTTATCTTTATTCATAAATCATTGTATTATTATTATTGTTATTATTATTTTTCGTATTCATTATTAATCTCCCCTATACATGATTCTTCCCTCCTTATTACGTCTTACCTATTTGATCGAATGGCAATTGCACTATTATTTTTCTCACCCTACTTGACCCATATTTATTCTGATCATAGATCTTAAAATCTCACTGAACATAAACTCAGATTCAAGTTAACATTCTTTATGAGTCATAACAACATGCACAATTTTATTGTATTTTATTTACCACAATCCTAAATTCACATGCTTTAAACTATGTACTTTACCCTTAAACTGGCCATTTTTCGGATTATTAATTTGGATATATAATTGTAGAACCTGAAGAGAATTTATCGAAAAGAATATTCTTCGTTCAAATACTAGTCTTTTAATTATATACACACTATTTAATATTCTAAAAAGAATATGTTATTTACCGCCCATTAGAGATGCAAGTAGTGCATACAATACATTGATGTACGATAAAAAAATAAATATACATTTTTATTAGAAGGGGTTTTGTGGAGATTTTAGTAATTTCAATCGTTGAAATCACGAGTCAATTGAAGCTAGACCACCATGGAAAACCTGGAAGCACTGGACGGCCGTTTCGTCCTAGTATGGGACTTCTCAGAAGTGCGCATCCACGAATCCAAGACCTATAAGTGTCGCGCGCGAGCGCTTAACCATTACACCACTGAGCCGGCATCCAACGGTGTTAATGTCTAACTTCAACAAAGTAAAAAAACTTCAATATGTATGTTTAAGAACAAAATATTAAATGGTCCAAGATATTTTCAACTTCCACAAACCACGTGCGTTTAAATTACAAGCAACATAAAAAGGCTGATAAAATACATAAAAGCTTTATCTCAATGTCGGTTATTACATTAATCGATCAATCAAAATCGACGTGGAACCTAGGCACTACTGTAAATCATAAACAAAACAACAAAGTATGAACAAATATCCATAATTGAATGCTCCAGATTTTCTGATATACACTAGAATTGACTTCTTATTGTTGTAAACGATTTTTCAGTTCTCACTGTTATTTAAAAAGCATTTTCCACCTCTACCACTAAATTGTTTGTGCAGTCCCACCACATATTAACGTGATTATTAGTCATGTATTTATGTTGAGATTACTATAATCACCATAATTCCGGGCTGTTGAAATAAGCTATCCTAAAGATAGGCGGTTTGTGAAGTGTTCAATCCAAATTTAGTTCTTTCTATTATAAAATAACATTAAATGGAGAACTATTTCACCATAGTATAGCACTCCTCATTGATGTTCACTTATAGCCTCATAAGGGAAAGAACTCATGAGATTCAATCTGTGTAGTTAGCACAGCAGCTTTAGACCATTGAGTAGAAATCAAATGGCTGATTCACGATATTTCTCGATTACTACCCGATGCGTTCAAAGTCAACAGATTTCAAATCCCTAGTGAGATTCACACAATACTGTAATATGAATTGAACAACTCATGGTAACAAAAATAGCATACAGTTGTATCAGCAAGAGTGTCTGAGATCTCATTTCACAACTTCTAAACAACTCACATTCGGAAATGATATTGATCTGTGTATTTTGAAATGAGTTTAAGTAATAAGAAATCGGAATAATTGGTAATATGAAAATTCCGTTTAATAGTCTAAATTTCAAATCATCAGACATTTCACACTCACTATAACTTACAGATCACTATTTAAACACAATTTTCAATCCTAACGAAGAATAAATGAACGGTAACTGTTAGGAATTATTTATGGACTGTTGTTATATGTATATTAAGTAACTAGATTATACATATTTATACTTCTCTTAATATAAGCTATCATTTGACCTATTGGTTACTATTATAGTGTTTACTATTCTTAACTTATTCCCGACTTATTAGTTAGTCTGTTATACTAACAGCCACTTTTGGCTTAATCTTGTATTATTCTTATCTTCTATTTTATGGTACGATGCGGCCTCGTTTGTATATAAACTGAGTATATCTGAAATACATGATTCATGTAGTGTAGGCTGAAGTTGTGTTTTGGACTCAACGGGTAAAACAAGGCAACAAGAGTCAATAAGGACTCAGAGTCGATTAGCACGTCATTGGTTTGGCATAGTGTCAAGGTCATATAAGTTGTGTTCTAATTGGCGATTTAGTCACGTGATAAGAAACAGGGCAAAAGTCATAAATTACAAACACAGAGCAAGGTTATATGAATATACTCACTAAAAGGAATGAAGTTAGCGAAAATACGGTGAACACATTTACCTATGAATTATTGAATATATAATATAAACATATGTATTTAGTAGTAAATATACTTTTTGTGTTTGTGCAGTTACATTTTCAATGAAGATACCATGGAAATTTGAGGAAACATTTTATTTGTTTTTTATTTAAACACATAAACATAGGTACAGGGAGGCACCAAATGCATATGCGCCACGTAAATCATTCCATTTGTGTGAAGGTTGGGATACTACCCGGGTGCCCAGACCGAAGCAGGTGGTGTTCTTAGAGGGCCACACCCGGAACCTTTGAACTGAAGGTCTGATCCACAACTTAGTGGAGCAACGTCGGAAGATGCAGTCCCATGGTAGCCAGCGACCAACGATTGGTTCATACGCCACTCGTTACTCCAGGACCCTGGAGCCCATGTGAACCATTGGTCTGGAATCAGGGTTTTCCAACTCCCCTCGGTGGATCCTCCATATCTATCTAACCGCTATACTTATTCCCTTTTTTACCACACTTCTACATATATCATCTTAAAATGTGTAAGTGAAAATCATAGCTTATTCCCAACCACATTCAAAAGTGATTGTCAATTCAAATACATTGAAAGGATAGAAAAAACTTATTTGATTTCCTATAAGTGTTGTGATAGCGGTATCAAGTTCTCAATCGGTTCACAAACTTAATTGTACATCAACTGTTATCAATTCAAGATATACAAAGGTTTATCTACAATCAATAGTCGAAAGACACCATCAAATGTTATGTAAACTTGAACTTTGGATGAAAAAATCCTTAATAAGTAACTTAAAACTACTATGGTAAACAAAACGTCATTGTTAGGTGATTGCAGGTAGTTGGCAGTGACACGAATAACTGAGCGATAACTTCTCAGGTTGCGAAGCTGAGCAATGTGAGTCGGAATCCTACTGGGAGCACCGTCTCTCTCAAGATTACAGGTTCGCCTTGCTGATGAATGTCAACTAGAGCAAAAACTAGGCCCAGAGTTTCCTAATGACTGTCTCCAACTATTTAACATCTCAACTCAGAGCACACAAAGTCGAGTCACTCAGACTAGTGACCAAATTGCGACTTAGTCGATGGGATTCAATCAGAATTAAGGACTAGGAAAACGTAGCAATTCATACTTCCTGAACCACTGGTAGATTTAAATAAAGAGAGAACGACAAGATTTGCTACATAAACTGAATACACTATGCTTTATTCTGTAAATTATGTCTTTCTTGTTTTATTCAACTATAAAAATGGACATTATTCAGTGACCAATCAATTGTGAACAAAACTTTGTTATACTAATTATAAAATAGAGAATATCACTCCGTTTTCCAAGATGAAAGTTCAGAAACTCATACGTCCGCTAGGCTTAATAAACAACTGTACTTTGTTATTAACTCAATTACATACTTGATATGTTACGTCACGACATATAGAATAAAAACCAGAACGGAATATAACAATTATTTCATTCTAGTTTAGTGATTTTTATGGCGGTAAACCACAAACTTTAGGTCTCGTAATGAATACGATATCCTTTAAATCACCGAGTCAGAATCCACTGGTACATACTTTCAACATTAGCCAGTTCGTAATATAATTTGAACACACAGACAACAAGTAATATATATCCTTTATTTATGTACTCGGTTATGAGTAAAACTTGTTTTGTGGAGACCAGTGACACAATAACGATACACATACTTTACGTCAGTCAAAATACTATCCAGTAGAGGTTACTGACACATTAACATAAAGTGTCAT